TTCCAACATTGGAGATTCTATATTTCGATATATATATATATTCCCCGCTTTCAATGTATGCTCTTTGGTTGAAATATAAAGTAACGTTGTGATCGGGATTCATAGCAATTGAATGTACAAAATAGCTGATTCCCCTCATAGTACATGATCTCCATTCCCCGTTGGCCCCGTTGCCACTAGAATTGAGAATCTAATGATTGGTGCACCCCAGGCATCGCAAGTTTTTTTGTGAAATGTCCCCAGTTGTACCGAGCTGTTTCATGGATTACCCTCCAGTAAATTAACATAGACCCTGCCAGTCATCGGGGTTGGAAGATTAGTTTCCATTAAAAATTGGTGATTCTCAGGGTCTATGTTAATTTACCAGAGGGTATAAACCTCTTACCAACTGGAATGCACCTCCCAGTACACATGACATCATGAATTAGAGGTTAGTAAGGATTGTATTGATAGTTCATATACTATAACCAAGTAATCAACCTCAATGGCAGGAGTTGCCCGGTTACGCACCTGTCGAGGTTGCAGCTCCACCTGGTATACTTTTCAGAAGTGAATCCCATCGTTTTTGTGCGGAAAAAACATGGTAGAATAACCAAGCTATTTATCAAGGATATCCTATAAATAACTGTGGATATCCTATGAATAAGCGATATATAACTATTATTTATAGGATATCCACAGTTGGATGCATGTCCAATGGTCCAAGTATGATATGGGATATAACTCAGGGATAATGGATGATAATAGTGGGATGCCTAATGATGTGTGGAGGTAGGATCCCAGCATTCATATGGCTTCTAAAAATTCTGGGCTGTCCTAAATCCAAACCCATAGGATCCATGTATGGTATATATGCTAACATTGGGGGTATATTGATGGTAAATGTCACCATTACAGCATACATGGATCCTATGGGAAAGTGCTTTGAGTACTAAACCAGAATGAAATCAGGATGATTTGGGATACCTTATGATACCTTTATTTTACGAAACACCCAGTATAGGTTTGATTGAAGGAGTATATATTGTGTATATAGATATAGCAAGTTACGATCGGATGACCAAACGATCAGGATAACATGGGACAACCAAACATTCAACGAACGGGTTCTGAGATATGATGGAGTGACCAATGATATCCAATGATTCTATGAGATTATATATATATATGAGGATACAATGAGATAAAATCTAACAAGCAATATGAAATCAATATGAAGTATTTGGGTTTGTCTAAAGGACGGGAGTTTTTACTAACCATTTTCTGTGGAGGATTTTTTATGGGATATAACATGTATAACCAACGCTATGGATCTGATTTCTTTGGCATGTCGAGCTGGTGGTTTTTGCCACCTTGATCAATGGCCATGTTCAAAGCGTAGTTTTGGCTGTACCGCAAGGTCTTAAAAGTGGCCGTGGGATGTTGCCAGATGTTGCCTAGCCAGTTCACATGGGATGGAAGCAACAAACATGGGAAACCTGTCGGATATAGCTCGAGCAGACCATGCCTACAAGCAATTCAACTGGTGGCATTGTTTGCGAATATATACCCTCTGGTTATTTAACATAGCCATGGTATAGATGGCCCATAGAAATATATAGATGGTTTACCGTTCTTAATAGCATGGTGGATCTTTCCATGGCAAACTGTTAGTCATAACCAGATGGTATCCCACTATTAACCACTATTAACCACTATTAATATCCACTTTTAAGGTACAACAGCCTTCATAAATCACAAATTCGGTCTGATTTGGGGGTCCGCAGTGAGATGCATGTCAATCTTACCTTGGGTAGCTTCATACGGCGACATTTCTGTTGCTACCAATTGGTATAGTCCCATGAAATCACCATGAGTTGTAAGGATTTGTAAGGAAATCCCCATGTTCAGTCCCATGAAACCACAATTTGTCATGGTAAAACTACCATGTTTCACAAGTTTTGACGGTTTAATCCCAGGGTATCCAAAACTGGTTAAATCGCGGCTCGCCTCAAGCTGATTCGATGAAGTCCTTTCCAGGGGCTCCTAGTCACAACGCTGCCGCGGGCTGGGTGTGTTGTGAACTTCCGGCTTTGGTGGGGTAACATGGCAATTGCGCAGCAGATTAGCAGATTGGTAATATATAATATGGTAATATGATGTGGCAAGGTGGTATGATAATATGCTTGGGTGCTATACTGATGTCCTTTGTTCTCTTGATGAATAGCTGCTAAAGCCAGCCGACCTGTCCTCTTTGGCCAGCCCATCCAACTCCATCACATCGTGGCGCCCCAAGCGGTTGTGATTTGGCTGTGGCTCAAAGCGCTACCAGGTCTCTTCTCCCATCCCAAACATGGCCTAGCACAAATCGGATGCTGAAATATTCAACCAGCAATGTGGTTTTCCCATATTTTTGAATATGTCCCAAGATTTACCAATAAAATCCAGACAGAAACTTATCAGGTATACAAATGTATACAGTATATACATGTTTTTTCCCACATGTCGATCCTGTTTGGCATCATCTCAGGGCGGAAACGCACTTGAGATCACGCGGAAGCCATATCAACTCCCCACCCTCGGAGTTCTAAGCAGCTGCGGGTCCAACAAATCCCAGAAACACCGAGGCTGAGGTCTACTTGGATAAGGAAAATCTAATACCATGGATGGTTTCATATGGGTATGGATCAATACCTATTAACACCATTTTTAGTGGGATGAACATCCATTTACCAGCTATTTTGATGTGAACTACAGGGGTACAAGGGTTTTGACCCATCCCCATATGGGGCAAAGTACAGTACAACATCTTTAAACTAATTGGTGGTATAGCTACTACCCCCTTGAAAAATATGAGTCAGTTGGGATCATCACCCCAACTATTGGGGAAAATAGATTTCGCCATGTTCCAAACCACCAACCAGTTATATATATATATATAGCTATTAAAAATTGCCATTTACAGTGGATTTACCATGATTTACCTATTAATAATGGTGATTTTCCATTGATGTACACCCATCATTACTGGGTTTTTTTATGCTTAGCCATCAATGATCTGCCGCAAACTTCCACCGGAAGGTCGGGGATGAATCCCTTGTCGAGCATGGTTTCTGCTGGGTCGTCAAACCCGGTCAGAATCCCTTGTGATTACCCTCTGGTAATTTGTAACATAGCTATTGAAAATGACCATAGAAATAGTGGATTTACCCATTGAAAATGATGATTTTTCATAGTTTTTTGCATGTTTACCAGAGGGTAAGCAGTAGCATTGATTCAAATACATGAACATTGATGAACAGTGATGAAAATTGAACGCGTTTGAAAGCACCAAGCAGCCGTTGGTGCAACACATTGAAACATCTCGAAGCTGTTCGCAGAGTTCTTTGAGCTGCAGGAGGTTGCACCGGGTGCCGACACCTCATCCCCACACCATCTCCAGCACTGGCCTCGTGGCGACACCTCAGTTTGAACTTCGCAGACATCTCATAGCAAGTTGCTACCTCAGCCGGGCGGACCTGTGGCTTCGTCAAAGATCAGTGGCTGCGTCAAGAGTTCACTGGTAGTTTTGGACACAGGGCGGGTTTTCAGGTTCGTTCCATGCTTGTCCCTGATTTTTAGTGGGAAGCGATCTCTTAGGATGCCCAAAATCATCCAAAATCGCCATCCCCAAATTCTGAGGCGCCAGCCGAACAGCGAAGCAGATCGAGGTTCAAAATGCAAGTGCTGGAGGTTACCAGAGCAGTCTGCAGGTGCATCGTGGCGGATCTCTGGGGCTGGTGGGTTGCTGACATTCGACCCCCAAGTAGCCCAAGTATGGCCTGGATCCACAGGAATCATGGTGAAAACATAGGGTGGATGTGGTATGGTCCTACATCCCATCATGGGAATCCAAACATCATGGATATATTAACCCCTATATTGATTCATTGAAGACCATCACCAAACATGTATACAATCTAACTTTTAACCATGGCACACATGAGCCTAAGATCTGGAACTGTTGTGTCAAAAACCCTGGCATGATCCTGTCACCATCCTGCCACTTTGGTATACAAACCACAAAGCCACGCTTCCATTTCCAGACGAGCTAAAACAAGCTATATTTCCAGTGTTTTTTACGCGCACATACATCACAGAATGTAGGATTTGCCCCAGAACATGCTTGAAGCTCATAGCCAAAAAACTTGGTTAGCATCGCAATTTATAGCCATAATCATCCTACTTGGTGGCTCATCCCACGAATCGTAAGTGGGTTAGTTCACCCCAGTTATAAGTGGATTAAACCTACTTATCCCATGTAAATCACTGGGGTTATAACCCACCAAGTATAACATCAATTTATAGCCGGTTTGAGTATTGCACATGCCCATCAGAATCATATTCAAACCGGATCCTCCCATGACCCCAGGATGTGCCTCGTCACACTCTTGCACTACCGGATCCGCCTTTGCTGCTTCCTGGCATCACGACCGAAGGCCGAGGTGAAAGGTGCTGCAGGCATTTTTTTCGGTAAATACAGACCCCCATGACATGGATATCTGATGATTGGATTCCCATGTTCAACAATTGATGATGTGTATATATATATGGGTATACCCTACTAATTGCATTGGATGATCTGATGATATTTGTGGTGTCGCTCAAAATGCGATGTCTAGAGGCGCCTATTAAAAAGTGGTCAACCTCTCCGGGGCGGCGAAGCGTCGACGAAACGCCGGGATGGTTGAAAGCTATAAAGAAGGGGTATATTATATAATATAATATAAATATAATATAATATAACATAACATAACATAATAATATAATATAATATAATATAATATAATATATATATATACAATATCATATATATATATATATTATATATTGCTTATCCCACGTAATGCTTATAACGTGGGAAAAAACTGGGGCACGGTGCGCGGCACCGAGGCTGGCACGGTCAGGGGCTGGAAATCAAGAAAGTGGGGGCTTGACCGCTCAAGGCTATTTTTTCATCTTCTCGCTGCATCATGTTGAAGTTAAGCCGGCGAAAAAGACAAAACAGTGCCTGGCGGTTGGCGCAGCAACCCTTCCAAGTCTTTGGGTGAGACGCCAGAGCCAGCATGTGAAATTGTTGGCCACTTGTCCCTAACCTCTTGAGAAAATCCTCCAGGTTCGGTGGAACCGTTGGAGTCACCACTATCACTTTCAGATTCGGCTTCTCCATTCTGCAGGTTCCCTACTGATGGAGATGGGGTGAGGTGCAAACCAAATTGCTCACGCAGGTTGCAGGTCAGAAGGACAGCTGTCAAGACTGCTCCGATGCACGGAACAGACATAGCATTTCCTGCCGAAGGCTGAAGGGAATCGAAATATGTATGAATCATGAATATAACATATAACTTAACTTAAATATAAATACAAAGTATATTATAAATATAATTTGTATCATCTCAATCCGCGACAGCTACACCATGAACAGCACAAACGTGAAACAAGAAATCCAACACCCGCAGCTACAACCGAAATCAGTTGACAAAACATAGCTGACAAAACATTGTGACCGGCCTGCCAGAAGGCTGTAGAATGATCTCTTGAGCTGCGACGGAAAAACAACCGTGTCTAGGTTGAACCCATGCCTCAGATGACAAAAACCCATTGAAAAAACAACATACAACGGGCCTTCAACTGATCACATGCCCGAACGCAGCAGTTCATCCATTAAACCCACACAAAACCTGACATCACCCAACAATCATTTTGGACATGGCGCAAAGCCAAGAGATCTGGCGGCGTCAGTAAGCGGTGGTAACGAAAATCGTAGATCTTGCTGTTGGTCGTCAGCCTGCGCGGCGACAAGTGGTTTTGCCTACTGTATTATAATACTGATATACAGATACTATTAAATCATATTCTATATAATACTATATATTATTATTATATCATATTGTATTATATTATATTTATATTCATATTATATGACAAGTACATTATGTTATAATATATGATATCATATTATATAAATTATATTTAATATTTCTATTGTATTGCTATATGGTTATGCAGCAGTTATGCAGAACATGCTTTCCGGAATCTCAGACTTGGTCCAAGTACACCCACCAACCATCAACCACCAACCAATCAACCAATCGAGCCACGTTGGGGCAAGCCCATCTGATCGATGAGCCCCGCGACCAATAGACTTCACAACGTCGGTGATGAGCCGATTTCGTTCCCCAACCTGCATGTTTCACGGCGACCCGGAAAGAGATAGCGCCGACCAAACTCTGAATTCAAAGCTTCAACTAGGAACCCGTCTTCTGAACAAATAGAAACCAAATAACTACCTAACTAAGTACGTTAACTCACACTCAAACAAAATGCGAGCTATGTGGAAACTCCGTTGTAAATTGTTTTCCCAAACAACATCTAATGTATCCGAATGTCGCTGGCATGCTGGTAACTGACAAAACTAGTCGAAATGCCCAGAAGGAAATCAAGAGAACGGCAACAAACATACAACACCGCAAAAACCACTGCAGACTATGAATGAGGTATGATATGGTATGATATGATCTTATGAATGGAATTTTTGAACCGGATTGAAATTTGATATGACATAATTTAATTTATATAATGATATTGATATATGATATTTGATATGATATGATGTAAGAAAAAATGAAAGGAACAATGCAACAATAGCTCAACTTATATAAATCAATCAAATTAATATGGTACAATCACTAACCCCCAAAAAATGCCAGCTGGAGCTGCCTCAGTCTGGAGCCAAAGAAGATCCAGCTGTTCCACTTCCCGCCCACAAAGCCCAGACATCCAGGCTTCCCCAAATTGGCCCCTGCACCACCGAGAATACCTCGGACAAAGAGAACACCGAGCTGATGAAAGGGCAGTTCACGTGACTACATAGTGGCACACTTGTGGTCAAGTTGCTGGTGGTATGTTTGATCGCTGGCATGCTCGTAGCCAAGGCCCTCCTTCAATCGGTCGAACTCTGTTCGCGTCTTGCCCTGCGTTACCCAGCTCAAAACCTCGACGGCACAGGACCCTACATGGATACGTTTATGAGAACCAGAATCAGAATATAGAATGATTATATTATATGGTGGTATTCGACTCGGCCATATTCACAGAAATTCAACTACTCTACAGACTGCACACTTCAAACTTCAATCTCTGCACACGTCCGTCTCATTATCATACAGTGGTTGTATCTTGAGCCCCTATGTATTAAATCATTATACAATCATACTTGACTCAGACTCTGTACTTGTAAACCATGTGACATGACTTAATAAGTTGAGTAAGTTATAGAAAATATTTTCTACTTATCTACAGGATAAAAATTCTGAATAATGCCTAAGATATATTGATATTGACAATGATTTTATTATCTGAAAAATTGGGCTCATACATTTCATATGTTCTGCAGCACATGTAGGCAAAAGGGCGGCCATCCATCGCTTTGTCGTTTTTTCGATCGAGCACCCTGCAGCTCAACGTTGAGCCTTTCTCTGTCATATGATTATTTTGCAAGGTCTCGGCCAAAACACAGCAGTCGTGGTGCCATTGCAAAAACCAGCTAGCGGTTCCAAAAAAAACATACCAGTAGTAAGGCAGCATAACTAACCCTGAAGTTAGAAAGCGCACGACGGAGAGCTACCAACCAACGACAACCGAAGAAGACAACAAAAAGGTTGAAGGTAGGTTAAGTTAAGCTATGGATCTGTGATCTGAGATCTGTATTTGTATGTTTTTTGTTACTGCGACGCTCTATTTGATGTTGTTGATTTGGAAACGGCTGCTAGGGTCCTAAATGGAATTGGAACATGAGCGCCTGCTTGCGTCACGCCGTCGTTGCCACACTGTGATTGGAGGCCCAATCAAAAATGGCAACCTGTACCAGCTGACAAAGTTGGCAGCCAATGTTCTGGGTCTGGGCCAGGTCGATTCCGTCACAACAACCTCTCTACAACAAAAGGCAAAACAAAAGGCTTTCAGCTTTCTCTCTCAACAAGGTCGATTTGCTGTGCTTTTTGAGTCCGTAGACCTAGCCCAGATATGATACAGTTCGGTTGGGAAAAGGCACATGTGGCATGCAATTGCGAACATCCTGCTGTGCAGTCTGTGCATCTCCAACCTTGACCAAACTCAGAAAGCCCGGACTCCTAGGCTCAATCCCATGATCTTCACTTCTTACTTCTTATTGTTCTTGTCAGCACCAGCAGACATCTTCTGGCGTTTCTCAGCTGGTCCATCCCCAGCATCACTCTGCTCAGACATCGCTGGGGGCTTCCCCTTCAAGTCCTGTCGCCAGAAAGGACAAATCAGTCGACTGGCAAAGTTTGACACGCTACAGCAATGTTACAAAGAAGACCCAAGCCCAAGTTAACGGTCCTTGGCAGTCTTGGAATGCTGCTTCTGCTGCTGCTCAGGATCTGTCTTACGACTTCTACATGTTTGTTTAGCTTGTAGCTTCAAACTGTCGGTGACACGTGACTGGTTGGTGTCTGGCTTTGTCTTGAAAGGATTACCCTTTCTTTGCATTAGAATCGCCTTTGTCCCTGCGACCTCTGGCTTGAGATTTGACACCGCCACGCGTGGCTGGTTGGTCAAATTGAAGCCCGATCGGATGAAGAGCTGACTGGGGTCGGGCGACAACTCAAAGGGGTTCAGATTTTCGTCAGCATGTTTCGGGTTGGTGGCGGGTGTTGTTTGAGCTTTTGGGGCAGGCTTCGTGCAAGTAAGTGAATAAGATCCACCACCTTCCAAAACGAAAAACTGCTGCCCAGGCATTGGAGCCTGGTTGAAAGGATTTGGCTCCACCTTTGGGCTGTCTGCATTGCTGCTTCCAATTCCATGTTCCTGTCTTTGCACTTTTTCAAACAACACAAGAGGAGAAAAAAGGGCACACCAACGTTCAAAATGGGTCACAGCGAGGTCTCGGAAAAGGAAACAGAAGAGAATGACACAAGCATGAACTTGGCATCGACTATCACATTTTTTTTTGTCTTGCACTAAGTAAAAGACAAAAGTAATTTGCCACTGGTCCGATGTCAGTCAGTCGAGTCAGTCGAGTTAGTCGTTGCACTCTTAGGTGCTGGCAGCGGCAGATAGACGAAGTAAAGTCGAGTCAGTCGAGTTAGGTGAATACAGGGCGGCCATACCAACCCTAATGGGCCCAATAATCTGGGATACCAAACCCAAAACCCAGTCCTTGGAAAGCTTGTCCAAAGCATTCACCACAACCTTCGGCAAGTGCGTCTTGACAATCTTCAACTTGTTGTTCAGGAAGTTGTTGTTCAGCCGCTTGATGTCAGAGATCGTCTGCTGGTGACCGCCTCCGGAAAAATCGCGGAGAAGAATCTCAGCAGCCAAGCACACATAGAGCCCGACTGCGACACAGCGACCGGAGGGTGCCCCGCCGCGGATTTCTTCTAACTTCTCGATGCTTCCGCTGTCCTTGATGCCCTGGCTGCCGGCCAGAAGGTCTTCTTTCCAGCTCATAACGATCTTGGCCAAAGACTCATAACTCTGAAGCGTCTCCAAGCCTGCCAGAATGAATACTGAACACAGACTTCAGTGAAGGATACCCTGGAAAAGCATCTTTGCTGGAAGAGAAACCCGAGCAGAAGCTCCCGCGATAACGCAAAACCATAGAGATCTGAATATATGATTCTATAAACTTTCGACCCCAAAAAAGGGAGAATACCGTAAACAAATTATTATCAATTTATCTTTGTTTTTAAATTCCCGCCTGCCATCCCGTTCTCAAGCTCTTTGGTGTTCGACGCATCGTTGTAGTGCCCCACGGTGTTAATGACCTCTGCTGAACTGAGCCATGCTGGTCCATCCTTCTCGGCCGCATTGATCAGCTTCAGGAGGTTCTCGTGCAGGGGGATCAATCTTTTCTTGGTCTCGTGCAGTTGAGCAGCAATGTACTCGGTCGCTTCGATCGACTGCTTGGTCAGGAATTTGGTGACCTCCGTCTGCTTGGTGGGGTCCAGAATGGTGTCCTTGTCACGGTCAAAGGACATCAGATCCAGGAGAGCCATGACTCCAGGGTTGATTTCAGTCTCATCTCTCCAGCATCTTTGCTGCAAGTATGGCGGGCGAGTCTCGTCAGGAGTGAGGTCAAAATCTGAAAGGATCTTCAAAGCCCGGAGCTGCCTCTCCACCACAGTACCTAAGCCACCACGCACGGAGCCTTGCAAGGTCAGAAGCTTCTGCCCTTCTCCCGAACGTGCAAGTGACCGGCACCACGCAGGAGGTTTGTCCTCAAGCTTTGGCACCAAGGTCTCCAATGCCTCAACCAATTTGACGAAGATCTCCGGGAGAGCAGGTTTGTCCCCTCCGAGAGGAATGCCTGAGCAAGCCAGCTGAACCCATCAAAGCCCCACCAACTACAAGACCGCATCCACTTGAAAACAAATAAGTCCCGTGCTTTCAGTGATGAAATCACGCAGGGGCTTCAAGTACTTGGGGCCCGGGAACTTGTGGATTCCGGTGGAGGCTCTCACAAAGTACTCGCACGACAAGTTATCCGCACCCTCGCACTCCCCTACCAGACACAACAATCGCAGAGCTTCGTCGGCCGCCAATGACAAGCCATTGGCAGCAGACTCCCGAACTGAAGTCCACTGGTCCACCTCAGCTGGGAGAAACAGGCCAGTATTTGATGACTGGATACGAGTTAGTTAGTTAAAGTTAAAGTTATTGGTGATTTTGATTTGATAATAGAATGATATTATATGATGATAATATAATATAATATAATATAATATAAATATATATATAAAGATAAATGAAAAGTATATAATATGATATGATATGTGACTTTATGATATGTAGATAAAAACATTAACATATGATAAAACATAAATTGTTACATTGACTACATTGTAACATTTGAAATTGAAATATGTGTGATAGCTATTGCGTCAGTATCGGATGTAAAGTAATGAGTAATGTAATTCAAACCATTTGTTTGTAAAAACTAAAGACAGCTTTTCCCGATCAACGCCAAACCATACGCGAACATAGACTTACGATGGCTCCCGCGGGTTTGAAAACCTACCAGCGACATACATAGCCTAAGTGGTGCAGTTGTTGAGTTGCAGGTTGCGTTAAGATCTAGAGTCCAGACTCTAGACAGTCTATCGAGAGCTAGAAGACATCAATGGCTACAGTATACAGAAACTGCAACAATTGCGTTCAATCCTGAATTTGAAAATCCTACCCCCCGAGTGAAGCCACCCTGGCGCCTTCCATGCACGGAGAAGCTTGCACAAGCACCTGATCTGCGCAGGCCCAGTATAGAAGTTTTTCTTGACAAGCTCAGCCTTCCATTCAGCATCGTTGATGGCGGCCAAGTACAACTCCATCACTTTCACCAGGTACTTGTCCAGAAACTCATTGAGTTTGGAAATCTCCCGCTTCAAATGCTGGACGTGATTGTCCGCGGACATCACGGCATTTGGCTGCTCCTGAAGTCTCTCAAAGAGAGCCTTGGCTTGAACCAAGCGATCCACCACATGGACCTCCCCGGCGCCTGTGAGCTGGAGCAACGCCAAGGGTTCATCACGGGACAGAGCCAACTCTACCGCCGAAAACGGAAAGCTGGACATGATCTGGTTGCAAGTCTCCGGAATGTTGTCCTCTGAGATCACATGCCGAGCCGCAGCCTCCATCTGCCCCCACCAAGTCCTGAGAAGTGGAGTGACCGAAAGCACAGGTCTTAGTAGTCGTAGTAGTAGTAGTAGTAGAAGATGTAGTAGTAGTAGTAGTAGTAGCTAAATACGTAAACCGTAGACCGTAGAACTATATGAAATGATTCGATAATTCGATATAATAGTTTTTTTTTGCGATATGAGCGATACGGCGATACGGTTCACGTCATGATTAAATTAATACCGTACTACCGTCATACAATCTTAGACAGACACATACTGAAAACTTAATTTACAATGACACTGAAGATTTTCAATTTGTGGAAATTGCAGGCAAATCATATCATATTAGTATTATATTACATATTGTTCATATTAGTTGAAAGTACATAATATTACAAAAAAGTTGAAGGCTTACCACCGACTACTCGCCTCATTCTACTGTCACAATGTAATGAAATGAAATCATTCACCATGGCAACCCACGCGTGTTTTTTCAACGTTCGCGACAACAATAAAACTGTAGTTCTAGAACAGGCGAAAAACAGATGGCAAAGGTTCTTTGCAAAAATCTAAAGAGACGATGTACGACCGTAGGCAGTAGACAGCAGGCAACAATAAATATGAAAATGATATTATATTTGATATTGTTGTTTAAATATTATATAAGATTAAACGATTCTAAGACGATGACGATGACTACGAGTACGACTCAGTACGACTATCAATTAGTATTCAATATCTTACCAACCTGGCATCGGATATTTAAACTAAACTAACTTACGCACGGGTCATCAAACGTAAATAAATACATCGTCCGGTATGGTCTGGTCTAACGGTCTAACTGTCTAACTAACTATCAAACCTAGGATTACACTGGCAATATGTGACTGTAATCTTCAATGATTCACTGCCTTTTGCCAAACCACCCCGACCATGCTACCAAGCGTCTTCAACAGCCCCATCTTGGTAAAGGATTGCATCTTAGTGCTCAAAAAGGATTTCTTCTCCAAGGCTACCTTCGCACTGCGGTTCTCGACTGGGGATCCACCGGAACCGTCCTGTGGGGATTGCAAGCACAAGCCCCACCCAACACAAACTGTACCACGCGGTGTTTGCTGGAAACCAACTGGTGTCTGTACTGCTCGGCACCAACTTTTAGCGAGAGATTCCGACCATGTACAAGTCACAGTCAACCGATCTTGGTTTTGGTTTGAACTCCAAAAGAAAAAGTTGAAATACGATTAAGTTTTCGAAAATCGTCACAAACTTGGAAGATTCAATATCCCGGCATCCCTTCCCTTCGCTCCTCTGGAAAACGAATGGCCGCTGTTTTGCTGACCTGGACCTCGAAGACCACACGGTCGCAGAACCCGGCGTCCATCTGAAACGATTCCCCCTTGAAGTCCCACGGCACCGCCGCTAAATCCATAGTGGGCACCGGCAGCCTTAATGGCCCCCGTCACAAAGATCCACACAACGACCGGAAAAAACAACGACCTACTACTACTGCTACTACTACAGCTACTCATTGACAACGGCAACCACAATGACTAGACTAGACCGACTAGACCCCCATGCCCTCAGAGATTGAAGCCCAAGAAACGCTGCCAAGCAAGCCCTGATCTTGGAGTCCGAAACCTTTGACCTCCAGACCTTCTCTTGCCACAGCGAGAACAATTGCAGCTGGACACCCACTGCCAGCCCCTTGGCATCTTCATCGGCAGAAGGGCCATTCGGGCCATTCCGCTTGCAAACTTCCATGTAGTGCCGAACGGTCAACGTTTTGGACACCGCAAACAAGCTCATCATGTTGAAAAACAAAGTCGAAATTGGAGGCTCCTTTCGACGCTGCTAACATTCACTAATGAAACGGTTGGTTCCAAGAAAAAACCAGCTAGAACCACTAATTAAGAGATACAACGTGCATTGCCAGTAAAGCATGCAGCATGTATGTACGCACTAGTGTCAGTTTAACCTTCAACAACCTAACCTAAGAATAAAACGACATCTTGTCAAAACGGCATTGGTCAATGATTCACGATTCCATAAATGGATTAGTTCGGAAGGAAGGAGGAGAAGGAGTGTGGAACCCAAGCAAGGTTGTATCTGCAAGCCCCGCGCCGATGCCCATGCCCTGTAGGCGATGCAGCAAAGGTGTTTTTATCACAAAAACTTCGCACACTGAAAAACCATTGCAAGGGGCAAGTGTGAATTCTTTGAAACCTTCCCCGACATCAAATCAACACTTATTCGACGCCAGCTTGAAAAGCAAAAACGTGAGTTGATCGATGTTTTAGGATCAATTTAGGTAAATTAAAGTGAGCAACTAACTAGACTTACTTACTGTATACGGACATAATGACATGACATCTTGAAACAATATGGTATACCGGTATACCGGTATACCGTATACCATATTAAACATAAGAATCACAATAATAAAAATAATTGTGTAATTCCAAATTTTAATCATATCATACCTCACCTCATATCAAACATGAGCAGATTAGCAGATACTTAACCAAACCCCTCCTCGAAGTTCTTGAGCAACGCCACGCCGATGTGAATGAAGATGCGCGAAAGGAGGGCCGGACTGATATTCTCCATCACCTTCAACTCCGCATCCTCCAGTGTGTTGACAGCACTCTGCGGGTTCTTCTTCAACTTTTGGAAAACCTGAAACTTTTTCAAAGCCGATTCTGGAAAGTCCAGCATCTCCCGGGCAAGATTTTCACCCTGTGGGTCGGCAATGACTTTGTTGGCTCCTTCTTCCAACTGTCGGCTAAGTTGCTCGAATGCACGTTGACGAATTTTGCCCTCCCACAAGGCATCGTCGCTGAAGCTCCATTGCTTGGCTTCAAACAAATTTGCCACTTTGTCGATCTTGTCCTTGCTGGCGGTAGCTTCTGGCTTTCCAACCACTGCTGGCGCCGCAGCAGAGGAAGCAGCTCCTGGTGCTGGTGGCACCATGCGGCCCAAGGCATCCCAACAATCCAGCCTTCGCCTCTTTGGATCCGTCTCTTTGGGCCCGCCCACACTCTGCTTGGGGCCCTTGGGGGCCTTGCGTGTGCTGGCTGATGGAAGGGCAGCCGAAGAAGATGGCACGAATGAAGAGAACTCCAAATCTTTGTCCTCAACCTCTGACTCCAACTCATCGGCCGTAGAGACCCCAGTGCTCGCAACCTCCTCCATGCCACGCTCTTGCAAGTCAGCGACTTTCTTTTCCACCTCGCTGGCTGACTGCATCTGAGACTTGACCGCATCAATGTCCGCCTTGTGCTTGGCATAGGTGGCCGCGGCGGAAGATCCAGAGTCATGGCCACCAACCTTCCATGGAGAGATGATATGTCGAGCTGGTTTCTTGGTGGGAAGGAAAATGGATGACATGTAAAACCGTTATCGATTCATTTGTTGAGGCAACCACAACCCAAAAAAACAACTAAATAATTAAAGAAATAATATGTTGGAATACGAAGAGCGGTTTGTTTTGATTCAAATGATTTGTATAGGGCCCATGAGGCCATGATGAGGCATTGGCAAGTGATGCAGTGATGCCAATGGTTTCCACAACCACATTTTATGCGACTGCACGGCAATGTTGGCAATGCCTGAAAGTGTATCTAATGGCGTCATACAACCCACGCAGCAAAACATCAACCAAAAAAACAAATTCTCTTCGCTTTAAGGTACTTACAGGGCCGCACATGCACACATGCAAGCGGCAATAGTTCACTAAACTACGGGCTGTGGTCAAATACCCGCTTTCACCCACGGTTTGGCTAAACCTTCACACCATCCAACACGACTCATGGCAGCTGCAGCTGCAGCTGAAGCACCCCACGAAAATACAGTTTAGTTATCTCTATCAAGAACGTATGACTAGATAAGATTGGCATGAATTATGGATAGCCAAATAGCCTCATTGTTTTTCAACATGCGTCTAAAGAAGGTAACACCGTATCACACAGAGTAACACATAATTATTTACAGCATGTTCAATTGAAATGTGATAAAGGGCCGGTGCATCTGCAGATATACCGCTTGGAAAACTATATTAAATGTGATTTGTCTCTATTCTGAAATTTCATCTTTTAATTCTTCGGGAAATAGTTGCGATCCACCTCACAAAGAAAATTGATTTGCGCCCCCCAAGCCTTCTCTTTGCCGGCCGATTGCCGTGTGCCGACGCGAACTCGGCGCTTGCCGTCCAAGATGGCAACCACCAATTTCCCTTTGTCAGTCAGGACCTTCATATTTAGCTCCTGCCATGGCAGTGATCCGAAGAGGTTGCCATTCTACAGGGCCCCAACACCCTACTTATACATGAATTGAATTGTTTATCCACACCGTACAAACCACATTGCGAGATCATCAAGCCACTGCTACCAATCGCTATCTTATAGCTACATTGTTGCTACATCATTGGGCAACCAACCTGCACGCGTGCGAAGCACTGCATCTTAAAAAAATGAACTGGTAGGTAGTACCATTATGACCATACCCCACAAGATCAAAATAAACAAGATGCATGGCTGGATAAGAAGGGAAAGGTGCTGTAACGAACGGCCCAACATGTCCTCCTCCACAAAGCGGCGCTGCTTCGATTCCGAGCCAATCTTCGCTGGATCAAAACCCTGAGAAGTCAGAAACTCACCAAGGGGCAACACCGTGCCCTCATCAAAGAACTCGGCATATTCCTCTTCACGTCGGTAAGTCGCAAGATCAAACTGCTCATGCTTCCTGCGGTTCCCCGTAGATGAATCGCAAGCCAAAGAACGCTTTTCTTCCCACTTCTCCAGGGCATCCTGGGCCGGTCTGTTCCTATGATTCCATGAGAGCCCCAATTTTTGACTCATGAGTCATATCATATGTTCAAAACCTTAAATCACGGCAGCGGTAAAAATATATGGAGTCGCCACAAGTGAATCGGAAATTCATAAGGTGGTATAAGGCCACAGCCGTGAATCCATGAGCGTCATAAACTTTATAGAACCAGCGGATCTCTTCATATTTGGGGAGATGTAAATGATTCAATGCGCCAAATATTATAATACTAATATCAATATTGTCATTATGCCAAAAATAATGGATATCATCCGGTATGATCGTAGCATTGCGCACCAATCGAATGCCATAACCAAGTTTTAAGTTGAATGACATAAACCGACAGGAACCTACAATTTGTCATGGTTAAATCCGCGTCGCTTAAATCCAGCAGTCCTTACTACAACCTGTTCCAGTTTTGATTTGCTGATAAAAAACCTTGGATTGTAAGAACCCCAGGGCTTAGCCACTCGGTGGAAATTATGCCTCTTGAATATTGAACCTTTGCCCCGTATATTAACCAACCTTGGCTTTGTACCGGAAAAAATTGAAACACCTGTGTTTGGAAAGCTCCCAGTCTAAAAACGAAAACCATGGTTCAAGCACGTTCAAGCAATGTCGACAAGTGTCCCAAAGCATTCGTATCATTTGGGCTATTGGCTAGGCTTTGGCTATTGCCACTATTGCCACCATCTACGCAGTCTATGCACTTACACACTTCCTACCCCACCAAATCCCAGCCATGCGGCATCTGAGTTTTCAATCAAAGAGTTCAGCTCCTTCTGTTTGATGTTGCCGAAATTGTAGCGGCGACACGACTCGGGAAAGGCAAAGATCGGGTTCGTTGGCTATTCACAGCAGTGATCAATCAAAAAGTTGACTTCTGGTTCTGATTATAACTTCTGATCGAGAAAGAAAAACACCATGAATAGAAAAACAAAGGTTCACTGCGACCAGTTCGTCTTCAACTTCGGTTCTGGTTTTAGACGAGCTGCGTTGCAGCAGCCACACTCATGACCACGTTCCAAGGTGCGATTGCCGTCCTGGCGGTGGTGTCCGGAAATATCATTCGACGAGAACATCAACTAACCCAAAACATCCCAAAACCAAATAACTTGTACTCTAAACTCTATAGTCCATATAGTGATGAAAACATAAAGATACAAAAGTTCCAGGACGTATGAAAAAACAAGAGATCCAAGACAACAAAGCGGAGTATCAACGATTAAAACACAAGAAAATAGACAATTTCAACTATCTTTAAATATTTGGTTTTCGGAAAGCATCCGAGAGAGCCGGGAGAAGGGGGGGCAAGGACGCACCCACGGTTCAGCATCTAGAGCCCTTCACTTGGCAAGTTGAGAAAACAATGGAAAAGGGTAGGATTTCTTAAGGCCTCTGAAACAAAAAAGTGGGAACAACCATCGTCACCAGGTTCAGTGTTCAGATTCTGTTGTTAGCAAACGCAGGTGTATCCGACATCCACCGATACACATGCGTTTGCTAACCTCACCACAAACGGTAAAAACTTCAAATAGGTTCAAAGATGGACAGACAAATCGGTTCAAAGCCACCCTCTATCTCTAAACATCTTTTGAATGCCCAAACCACCATCACCAGGTGCTAAACTTTGAAAAAATATGAAAAAATATCGTCACCAGTTGCAGCGGTCAGATTCTCACATTTTTTGACATGGAAAAAATGCATAACAAAAAAGGTCAACCTTCAAAAATGCAGGTAAAATTTCAAAAAAAAATGCATTTTGATACGCAGCCCTTCGGGGCCGAAAAAAAAAACGTTTTTTTTGACCGAAGTGCAGCCCATGGAGCGGTTTCCCCTCAGGCGACTTTTCCATAACGGGGTATATAACTTAACAAACACCGTATCGGGGATAGCACAACAACAAAGGGACAAACAACAAAATGCTAATTATGTATGCTTTATGTATGTTTTATAAATTTTGAATTGAAAATAAAAAGTCTTCTTTTGATAACTTTCTAATCATTTTTAATATGATATAGTTTCGGAACAGCAGTAAGCAGTAAAAATCTGCTTACTGACGGCGCTAAAACGCATCTTCCCTACTTTTCTGAAACATATCTTTATCTATAAATATAAACACCTAGTAAGCAGAAAATGAAAATGTTGTACATTTGGTAAAACGAAGAATCTTCTTACTGCACCACATATTTTTTTGTCTGTACAAAACATCCTTGAAATGATGAGAACCATGACGAAAAAAACATGATGACATGTGATGAAAACTAATTAAAAACAATGACAAAATAATGAAAAACTTTGAAAACATGATGACATGTGATGAAAGTAAGAAAAAATGACAAAATAATGAACAACTATATAATATATATGAAAACCATGATGAAATATGATGAAAATTTGTTCAAAACATTCACCAAATAATGAAAAAAATTGAAAACCGTGATGAACTGTGATGAAAAGGTCTTTTTCATTATTTTTCGCATGTATATGTACTGAACAAAACTGAGCCATGATGAAATAAAAAACTAGAAAAAACAAAAATAATATGCAGAAATAGGTGCAGCAGTAAGAATCTGTTTGCTGCCCCGTTATTGAAAGAACATCAAAACCATAAAGATTATAACTAAAGGATGAATTCGATAGTGCAAAAATGAAGAAACCCCATGTAAAAATGAAGAAAATCAGCTCTTGAACCTAGGGGTTCGAAATATCAAAAAAGAACACGTTTTTTTCTCCTCTTTCTTTTGGACTTAGAATGGTCCGTATGGAGTCCCTGCAGATTTTAAAGCCCATATTTGAGTCAATGTGAGGTTCAAAATTCGATTTTCGACACCAAAAAAAATTGAAAAAAAAAACTTTCTAATGCATTTAAAGCTCTTCAAAATGAATCACTGAAGGTTTTAAACCAATTTTTGGAAACAATTTATGAATACAAATCTTACTTTTGCATCTTTTCATTTTTCACTTTTTGTAGCTACTTTCCTGGTATTTCCCATTGTTGTCATTGTGCTTCCCCGTTGTGTCTCCCCGTTGTGTCTCCCTCCTTGAGGCCGCGCTCGAGCTGGCTCCGGGCAGATGGCCTGAACATGGGGTGGTACAATGGGGAGACACAACGGTGGTACAATGGTACCACCCCATGTTCAGGCCATCTGCCCGGAGCCAGCTCGAGCGCGGCCTCAAGGAGGGAGACACAACGGGGAGACACAACGGGGAAGCACAATGACAACAATGGGAAATACCAGGAAAGTAGCTACAAAAAGTGAAAAATGAAAAGATGCAAAAGTAAGATTTGTATTCATAAATTGTTTCCAAAAATTGGTTTAAAACCTTCAGTGATTCATTTTGAAGAGCTTTAAATGCATTAGAAAGTTTTTTTTTCAATTTTTTTTGGTGTCGAAAATCGAATTTTGAACCTCACATTGACTCAAATATGGGCTTTAAAACCTGCAGGGACTCCATACGGACCATTCTAAGTCCAAAAGAAAGAGGAGAAAAAAACGTGTTCTTTTTTGATATTTCGAACCCCTAGGTTCAAGAGCTGATTTTCTTCATTTTTACATGGGGTTTCTTCATTTTTGCACTATCGAATTCATCCTTTAGTTATAATCTTTTCCATGTGGTTTTCCATGTTTTTGATCTTATCCATGATGAGTTTCTTGGATTTTCCATGTGTTTTTGCGGGTTTTTGATCTTATCAATGATATATATATATTTAATCTTTATTATAAACCCAAACAAAATATGGTGCAGTAGTAAGCATCTGCTTACTGCATTTCATGTTTTTTGATCTTATCCATGATGAGGTTCTTGGATCTTCCATGTGGTTTTCCATGTCTTTGATCTTATCCATGATGATTTCTTGGAATTTCCACGTGTTTTTCCATGTTTATGATCTTATCAATGTGATATATATATATATAATTATATAAATTATATATATATATATAGAGTCTTGATCACAAACACAAACAAAATAAGGTGCAGTAGTAAGCATCTGCTTTTTGCATTGACATAATATGGAAAATGTAGAAAAATGAAGCAAACCTGAAAGAACAAATGAAACTTTGAAGAGCATCATGATTCATGTCATCATGATCGATAAGATTGAAAATCGTTGAGGGAACGCCTGCAAAAAAACAAAATGCACTCTTTATTGCGTGATCAAGATGTTTTCCATTATGTTTTGGATATTGTGTCTGGCATATGTTCTTCTATTTTGAGATGTTAGTTGACAGTGTTGGATGTGTGCTTTATAAATTTTGAATTTCAATGATTTTACATTTTCTGGATATTAAAAATGCTATTTGAGTAAGAGTCGAAATTTGAAATTAACTCTAGTTGTCTAATGTGCTTTTCGTGAAGGGATGTCAATCAACCAAACTTTTGACAGTGTTGGATGTTCGCTCCTCTCTGGATCAACACTTTCTGGTATTAAAGAAAGGTGGTCAGAACAGTATGTTTGATGCTTGGTTTAGATTTTAGATGGACAAAAAGAATATGTTTACCACATTTTTTTTGGATTGATGTTTCTGACATTTCGTACAGGTTTGTTACCAAATCATCATCATAAAACCATAAATCGAATCATCTCAGTCTCATGTCACTCATGTCTTTTGAAAAGGATTCTTGGGGTGTCACCTCAATTGGCTCCCATGATGTTTCACAGAAACTTTGCCTCCATGACTTGAAGATAAAGGTACCCATGATACACACGCAATAGCCTCTGGCCTGCCAACCCCCTTGTCCTTGTCTGGGTCACACTTTGTCCACTTCAAGATGGACTGGTCTTTGCTGAAACGATCGACACTGCGTGCTTGCTGCTTGCAAGTGTCGCACACAGGCAATGGCACTTTCTCTTTAGAAGGAACTTGTCCGACGTCGCTCGAATTCACACCGTTGGCAGGGTGGTCGGTAAGCGCCATCCCACAAAGATGTTAGGAAATTCACAGAGTGGCACGGGTTCACTTTGATTTTATAGCGACTACCAGCCACATGGTCACATGGGAAAATGTTTTACAGCATGCATCACATGTTTGCACTCGAGTTGCATACGAGAAAATCACACGTTGGCCTTGAAGCCTTGTGATATGATATACCATGTTCTGTGTACATAGTCTTAGACTGAAGTCATACAAATACAAACTATATAATATAATTTATGAGTCTATGAGATACGACTACAATAAAGATGACAACAAATCAAATAAATGATATAATACGATCTGCCAACATACTGTAAATCTCAATGCTCCTCTGCACCACTCCGTTATTCCATTTGGTTGTGTCTCGCTAGGTTACTCATACAGCTCATCCACGACAGCTAGCACGACTACCCATGTGTTCCATTTGTTTCGACTACTTTTGATTACCCAGGACTACCCAGGACGGACTACCCAGGACTACCCAGGACTACCCAGGACTACCCAGGAACTGGTCATACCAGTTGCACTAAGCATTGGAGACAGTTGCACTAAGCATTACATCTTAAAATGTTTGTTTGAACCAGTTATGATAAGCATTGTTGATTGGTAATGCTTAGCTCAACTGGTTTGTGATTCCTGGGTAGTTCCTGGGTAGTTCCTGGGTACTAACCTCTGCCCAGCTCTACCCAGACACTACCCAGGAACTACCCAGGAATCACAAACCAGTTGAGCTAAGCATTACCGATCAACAATGCTTATCACAACTGGTTCAAACAAACATTTTAAGATGTAATGCTTAGTGCAACTGTCTCCAATGCTTAGTGCAACTGGTATGACCAGTTCCTGGGTAGTCCTGGGTAGTCCTGGGTAGTCCTGGGTAGTCCCCGGTACTGCAATTAAGTAGCCCTAAATCATCTGTTACCTTTGTACAATTTGTACCCTAATCCCAACCGGCATTCGAATCCACTATCTTATTCTGAGTCAAGCCACGGGCGGTTGTTTTTCGTCATCACGTGGGCTCCACCCATCGCATGCAGCTCCAACCCGCATAGCATCCCAAACTGGACCCTCTGTCGGAAGGTCGATCACCGACTGAAACTTGGTGAGTAGAGCTCCAATGTGGTCCTAACACAGGACAAGTCGACAACCACATAATATTGTCAGCATCAGGTTTGGATGAATGGAAATATGTAAAATTCCGTAAACCAGAAAACACATCAATGTATCAACTATATATTAATATTATTTTGATAATATAAATGTAGGATAAAATTTTCAAGGTCATGAATCATATATCATAACATATACAATCATTATTATAAATTATAAATTATAAATATCAAATGTCAAATGATGCATATGTCACATATCAGTGTCCCGGATCCGAAGTCAAGCCACGCCATCTCATGTATCTAGGCCCTAGCCGCCCTGGTGTCTATTGCCCCCTGACTAGCGGCCAAAACCATCATGTCTCCGACAGATTCATGCACCATCACAAAGTAGAGGCGAGTGCGAGTTTGTCCAAGCCCGAATGACTTTGACCTGCAAGCGGTCTGGAATGCACTATGGACCAATTATGAATCTATTAATCTATTAATTTGAGGCATACAGTAGGATGGATCCTTTGAAATCAAAATGGCGAATACCCTGCTTAGCGCAGCTGTATGTATGCGTGACGATGAAACGGTTTGAAGATTTTAAGGGCACCCAAGCAGACATGTTTCGCCAAATGGGCAATGTTCGATCATCACAACGCATAAGTCAAACGGTATTAAATATATGAAGTATGATATGATGAATGTCAATCATATTATATACAGTCTGTCTAGTCTTGAAACTTGAATCTGATGAACCTTTCATGTGTGTCGATTGCTTTAAATATGAGTTCAGTCAACATGACCCAGCAAGGTCGAGAAACTGAAGTTTGAACACCTTAACCACATACCCAGGTATGAGACTGAGCCCAATCTCTTCATCTGGCAATTCCTCCCCGCGAAGAACTCCTCGTAGTACAAAATCAAGAGGGGCCTCCGCGGCAGCGGCGGCGGGAAGTCAGCAAGACGAAACAACCAAGAGTCCAAGAGTATCAGAAAAAGAAGGCAGAACAAAAAATCGCACATACTCTTAGAGACTTGTTTGAAAGGAGCAAGCAGCCAGATTCCTGAAGCCACAGCCCTGTACAAAAAGAAAAAGGGTCAACCAAGCTTAGCCCCGCATCAACCACACATCGGTCTGTTGGTCCGTCCACCGTTTTACCCCGACGCCCGTGAAACACGGTCACTGTATCTTGTCTTTCTGGCACGTGGCAACATGGCTGGTCACCGTGAAGCCCATCGATCGACATTCAAATTGGCATGATTTTGCATTCATGCTTTCTTGATGCAATCTGGCGGTCAGCATGGCTAATCGAGAAACAACTTAGCGTTTTTGGGTTAAAGTATGCATTTTTGTTGGGCCACCATCATCAACACTCAATGCAATGCACCCAGGTGGAAAATCAAAACTGGTACAACTGTACAACATTAATCCGCAGCCGCACCAATCGAAACTTCCAAGTGTGGCCAAACTGACGCCATCGAATTCTAAGCCTGCAACAGTTCAACATTTTGAATTTTGAATTCTGAATGTGACTGGGACGCTTACACATTCATTCAGCTTTGGAACATTGCTGTTCAAATGACCACATCGGTGAGATGAGATGAGAGACTAGTTCCCTGTCATGGACATCATTCGTTCCAACGAAGAAAGGGCCTCTTGGCATGCCTGCAATTCATCAGCATCGGTGGGGGGAGTCTCGTTTAGCAGCGTCTGCAAGTATGCAACAGAGCCTCTGCAACAAGTCCCATCCATCTGGCTCAAGCAACCAGGGTGGATCGACCGTGGAGGCTTGTTTGCTTTGAACGTGAACTCAAACCGAATCTCACCCTTGGGGATCTGGGAAGTGCAATGCATACATGTAATCCCTTTTCGTTTGCTTCTTGCTACGGCCGATATACCAACAGAATGAATGGTGGAACCAGGATTCTCCAGTTTCCTACGTCTAGGCTGAGGCTCCTCCGGAACGGGATCCTGATTTTCATCCTCTAAAGACTGGGCCATGGCCAAAGCATCTTGACGTGCCGCCTGGTCCACACGAAGCGCACTGTCCAATTCACGTCTTGAATCCTCATCGAGCTCAAGAGAAAAAAAATCTTCAAGACCTTCCCGAGGACGGTGGTCAGCGGCCACTGGAGCTGAAGATTCGACCATTGCATCGTCAGCTGGCTGTCGCCTCGGGAAGGAGAAGAGGAACAGTCCAAGAAAAAGCTATGCCATGGCTGACTATCAAACAAAATCTTGAAAAAAGCCAAGGATTCCAAACTTTTTATTCAAATTCAGAACCCTAACGACAAAAATAGAAAGAAGTTTTCACTAACCGACTACTGTAAACTGTAAACTTTGAAAATGACAATGATACTGGATACGGTGATGATGATATTAGACTAGGCGTTTACGGAAAAATATAAAAATCGTACAAATAGTATTTAAATACATATCATATCATATCAGCAAAAAAACAAAATGTATAAGTATTCATTGAACATATGCGTTCCACTGTACAATGTGTTGTCACAAAACGTTGATAACATGTGTTGTTGAATAGATAATAATAATAATTTAATAATAATATCTTTAATTTCTATTCTATATAATATTTAAATAAATTACATAATATAATTTATTCTATTTCATATTAAATTAATTAAATTAATATTATACAATATATAATATAACATATCATATATCATATATCGTAAAAATCATATATCATAGATCACTTATCTTATCTAACTACATTAGTAATATACAATGTAACAATGTACATTAAATTTTGCAATATGAGTACATATGTACTGAAAACTGATAACATGAATATGGGCCATGGGGCCATGGGAAGTAATTGAATATGGAAGTATCAACAGATTATGATGACACGTGCTACAAAATAAAATAATCTAATTTAATCTAATCTTTTTATGTTAAACTGTCTGTCTGCCAAACATGCTTTTTACCTTTTATGACGTGCCGCGGTCCCCACTAACACTTGTGGTCCATTATTACATTATCCACCCTGGGTTTGAAACATATCATAAACTCATTTGAAAACCATCACTGCCGCTAGAGTTCTTCAGCGCGGCCATGTCAAGATTGGACAGGCCGTCGAAAACGGAGGCCGAGGCTGGGGGCAAAGTGCCAGAGGAAGAACTAGCGGCCCCACTGGCTGACGCATTTTCAACGGGGTCAAACTTTTTGGACGGTCCCAAATCATTTGCCCCACTAAACGTGGGGGCCTGCATACGACCACTGCCGCTTGCATTGGCTTTGGCCTTTGGTCTGGTAGTGAGTTTTCTCAACATGTTGGAAAGACCGGATACTACGGTCTCTGCCACGCCGCCGGCACCGGTTCTCTGTTTCACACGTTGATGGTCACCAGCATCAAAGCCATCACCAAGTGTGAAATGGCAAACGGGTGGGTCAACAGCACGGATTCCCATGGGACGGGCCTCACTGGCTGGACAATACGTCATCTGGTTGTAGATGGTCGCCTCAAACAGGGGCTGCCGGAGGAAACCACATCACATACATGAGTAATTTCGCTCGTTACATTGCACCCACACGTTACGTTCAAACTATAGAAAATATACAGAAGCCAGAAAAGCTAAATCATCACGAATCATGATCATCAATCATTCCGATTGCAGTTATCAGACTTCCGAATAATTTTCGTATTCCGTATTCCGAATTTGGATTCAAAAAAACTTTATCATTGAAGCCCCCTACCTTCAAAGAGAAACCATGCTGCGAACCATTGTTGCTGTGACTGTACTTCTGAAGAAGGTCCCTGAACAGTTGATGCACCGACCCCACATGAGGTATGTTGTTGTTGGTCTTGATGCTCAGCTTCAACCCCTGCTCAACATATAAATGAACTCCTGTGTACGAGACAGGTTTGGCGGTCGCAGCGCCAATGACAATCCAAGAGGAGTCAAACGGAACAGACATGCCCTGCTTGAACTGAACAATGAACGGCGACCCACCTAGCTTGTAGTTGGAGAACACCATGTCAAATTGACCAACCAGATTTTTGACCATGTTGAAGAATGGGTCTTCTGAACAAATGCCACTGTTTGCCCACAAGCATGATCGTGAGAAGTTCGGCATGTCTTCTGAATTTTTCTCGATCCCGGGGTCATAGCGCAATGTCTTCTTAGAGAACTCAGACATGGCCTCGAAATTTTCTGTCTGCTGGCAAACATAGCTGGGTTTCAACGCACACACATGATCCCCAAGGCCAAGGCCACGACTCCACACATCATGACCGGTGACCGTGTGCAATGATATGTCCAGTCTTGGCTGGTTCAAGCGCTGTACCTGGGAAGGCCGGAGATCGGAAGACTCTGCCTCTTGCACTGCTTTGGATGCGATCGGAGTGGTCAAAAGTTTTTCCCGGGAAGCATTCATCTTAGCAGCTTCTGCCTTGAGGTCGGCTAACGCAGCATCGGAAAGCCGGCTGTAAGCCTTACCCAAGTTCTTGAGGCTGCTTTTTGATTCATCTGTGCCTACTTTCGTCCTGGGAGCATCTGTCCTAGGGCCGAGCATTAGAATGAAGGTGCGGTATATTCGAGATAAGTAAGGATTCATCAATGATACGGTGTGAGATGAGAAAGTATTTATTCAATCAATGTTGACAAGAATAGGAGTGTTTGTACTATAATAAATGATCGATATGATATAATGATATATGATATATGATATATGATATATGATATATATGATATAAAATGATATATGTGAAAACTGATTTATTGGACAGAGTAATGGTGGCATACGGTTAAATCTCATGGCATAGACATGTGACATAGATCATAGATCATAGAATCATAGACGTGACTCGAGGTGACCCTAATAATAAAAACCTGGAACACCGCGACATACTAGGTTCTTCGGCTGTCCTCTGACGCTGTGCAAACACATTGTAAGCTGACACCTTTCGAGTCTTGCGATGGTGCTTCTGCACTTTCCCTTGCTGAACAGACCTAGGTGGCGTGCATGAAAATTGAACATGGAAAATGTAAGGTGTTGTGCATAGCATAGCATAACATAACTTAACTCATAGTATACGGCAAAATGAAAAAACGAGGATCAGCAATTAGTCTTAGTCTTCTCACCAAACAGAAAATGCTATGTTCAAGGCAGCTGACATGACCCCTTGCAACATGCTCTTTTGCCTCTTTTTGACACGGCCGTCTTTAGTAAGACCATTCCGGCATGAACGACCAGTGGTGAAAGGCAGCTCGGACGATTGCGCACAACGGTTTCTGAGTAACCTGGCCACCTTCCCTTTGGTTTTCCCCAAGCAAGTTTCCTCCACAGCTTCCTTCAAGCGCTGATGCTCCAACACAGCTGACATGACGTAGGAGTCTCGCTGGATTCTGGATGGGGTTTTGGCATTGGAACAATAAACATGTATATCATACTGGAGGTTTGCGTGGGCTTTCTCCACTTCAACTGATGATGCCGGCAATTCCAACAAGATATCCTGTAGGAAACTTTTGGCTGTTTCATATCGCTTGCGAACGTCACCATCGTTTCCCTGGAAGATATATTCAAACATAACCTTGGGCCAATGTCCAAACATCAAAGCAACTTAGTTCTACATGGTTTCGAACATTCCCTGAATCACAAAATTTCAAACAGATTATTGAATGACTTGTCGCTGTTTTGTTGTTCGGTAAACAGTTAAACAACATTATATTATGTTGCGTGATCTGAGTATAATTAACGGTAAAATATAATAATTTAACATAACTTAACGTGCAAAAGAGAAAAAGGTGTGGCATGCTACTTGGCAACAAGAAACCTGTCCGAAAAAAGGGTCTTGGCACTTGGCACCCCCGCCAGTTCGCAAACCCGTGTCCCGAAGAAATTCAATCCCTTGATCGAAGTCCATGTGGATCAAACGAAAGAGGGCCCACGGCATTCCCTGGAAGGGTAAAACCAATCTTCGCCAACTGTCGGCCATGCCCATAACTGTGATTGGCAAACATTCATCTTGATTCAACCCAAAAAAGGATGACCACGCCAGGTCCCCTGGCAGCTGCAGAATGTTGAAATACTCATGGAGGACATCCATGCCAGCCTCCCCTGTGAGGACCCGTGTGGCATTTTGCCCAAACTCTTCCAGTGACATTGTGCATTTACTGGTCTGTGGAAGGATATTTTGTATGCGCAAACGAGTTCTGATCCGAACAGTTTCCAAAAGAGACAAGTGGTCCATATAGTTCGTAATGGGCCGGGTCAACACCACTGCCTTTGCAAGCTTTGCCTTGGCAAGGCGCGAGTTAGCTCAGCTTATTAAATATCGGTTTGGGTTTCGGGTTCGGTATCAGCATCGTCTGGTCGTCACCGAGTTTGCGGGGCACAACACCAAACATCAAACTGGATCTAAAGTAAGCTGAGAATTTCCTCCTCACTCTACGTCACAAATCATATGCTTGTGAAGTGGCATCAGAAAGATGTAGGGACCCAACCAATTGGGATGGCAACAGCACGCAAACAAAATTGGTTGACAATTTGAAATATTATATGTAGTTAATAGTACAACATAACATGACATACCAAAACATAACCTAAACTTATTGAAAACTAATACATAACATTACATAAATATCAAAATCATTAATCTGTACATACAATCGATCAACTTTGCTTGCTGTAACTTGCTTCACGTATGGTTCATCTCATGGCTTAGCATTGCCCCAGTTACAATGATATCTTCTTCTGAAAGCAGCTGCCAAACTTTGCCCATCCTGATCTTCTGCTTCATTGCTGGGGCCATGTCAGCAGAATCCGCATCGATGTAAGCAGCCAAGTCTATATCCCCATCGTCAAACGACTTGTTCATGGTTGCTTCCCAAACCATTATCAGCAACCCGTGAATAACCAGGTTCCGAAGGGTGAACTGGACTGCTGGGTCAAAATGCTTCCAGCGGTAGAGCAAAGGAACATCAAAGAAACTTCCCACTGTCCCTTTGAGAGCTGATTTCATCTTGATCTGGCATGCTTTCATGGACTCGCAACACCCTGGAGGGCAATAATGGTGCAGCTTCCCACCACGATCTTTTACAGAAATAGTCCAGTCATCATTCAGCATTTCTACAATCATGTTCCTGGTTTCATCAGACACATACCCACTACATATGTCCAGTTTGTGTGAATTGGCCTGCTTCCAATCCAAAACCTTTTTGGGTAGTTCAACCACGGTGTGTCTAATCACCGATTCCGCGATGGAATCAATCGCAACCTCAAGCCGCTGAAGAAACAATGACGACTTGCTGGCGTGGGCCATCCTCACCAGTCCTGCAGCCAGCCCACATGGCAACAATCAGATCAATACCGGAATGGAAATTTTTTTTGCAAAAAATACACAATTCACACAATCATAAATCATAAATAATCATAATCATATTTTTTTCGGAATTCCACGTAAAATGTTAATGCCTTAAATGAAGGAAACATTTTGACAGTAATCCGGAAACCGTCTGAGAAGGACAGCATGT